TCAAACAAGAATGGAACGTGAGCAGTAAAGCCTACCAAGGGAAAAATCAACCATGCTAGACTCTGCAAACTGCAGCAAGCAAACTGAAGGATGCTTGTAGCTGGCACCCATATTCACAAACTTTTAAACGCCCCACAGCTTGAATGGGGTGGCGCTGATTGTGTATTGAATAGCATTAGAAGCTGTTCATCTAAATCAGAGCTGGCCCGCAAGTGTACGCTTTGGTGTTGATGAGTCGGTAGGTACACCATGAGTTGTGGGCGTGGGAGAGGAGCTACAGCGATGTGGCATAGTGTCCGTACAAGCAACTGACCGAATAAAAAGCGTTGCTATGCTACTGAAGTATATATTGTAATATCTCTATATAGCTTCATCCCCCGGATACCAAGGCTAGGTGTCGCCTCTCCTCATCGCAGGCGCAGGTGACCTCGGGGAGGGCCACTGTGGAGGGTGAAAATTGATTCACACCGAGCTTAACAAAATCTCAAAATACGTAGCATGACGTACAGTGTCATCGGATTATTAGGACGGGTATTAGCTCCACAGTTGTGGCCTACCCACATGAACTCCAAGACACATTTTGGGCGCGACGCCAGTCACGTGCGTAAGCCATTTACATGCATCTCCCACTAATGAACCTCGTTGGATAATAATATTCCATGTCAGCCTTATCAACGTGCCTGAAACTAGGTTTCTGACTCAGGAGCTGCCTTTATCAGTGCCTGCGTGGGCTCTGTCGTAGACGGAACAACGCCACGGGTCCACCCGAGTGCGTAGTCCAACGGAAATCCACAAAAAATCGGCTGTGCAGACTCCACAATAATTGAAATATGCTCCCGACTAATACGTCAATGCTTTTGCAAAGATATGGCTATTCACTTTGTACGCTGGCAACAGAACCCAGACGGGGCCCTGCTGTCGATTGATGCTGAACCGCCAGCTGTGCACCGGACCGCTGCGATGGTCAGGGTCACTGTGCCAAGATAACTCAGCACAGGCTTGTCTCCAGATATTTTGTTTTATGCTTTTCAAGTGAATCTTTTTTGACATACCTACAAAGTACATGTTCTGTGGGACGCTTCGTTTCCATCGCGATCTAGGCAAATCTGCGAGAAGTTGGCCTCCGTCCTCGTCGAAGTATTCTCCTGCGCAACCTCCAGGCAAGAATTTTTGAATCAGTTCTCCTTCTGGAAGGTCATATTGCCAATTTATTTGCATGCTTGCTTGGTACAAATTTGTCAATCGTTTCTTTACAGTGCTTGCCAGGCCTTGCTGTTTGGTCGAATTGGTTAACCGTTCCTTTACAGTGTTTACGAGGCCCTGCGGTCTGAAGCCATCCAGTAGGCCTGGTGCCCGTAGGCTTCATGACATATCGATGTGGTTAAACCACAAAAGTACCTGCATCTGCCAAGATCATTTGAGCCACAATACATCCTGTGTGGTTGATCGCATTAGGTACCGGGAAAATGAGCAGCACGCGTTCAAGCTCTGAACTCTGTAACCTACCACTGGACACCCATCATATCCAGTTGACACCAGCACAGCGCTACAGTAAGTAACAACTATCGGCAGTTTGCAGCTTCCTAAGCATATTCGGCTGCGCCTCACACTCAAGCACTTCCTCCTGACGCGGTTGCCAGAAAATTGCGGTCGCCTCATGTTTCGTGACATTTGCAACAATTGCGTCTAGCTTGCAATAAGTGTGTATTGCCAGCTGCTACAGTTTTCATTTGGTGCTACCTGTGAATGCGTTTAGCGGGGAGCGTTATCGTCTCGACTTTAACGAATGACCGACCTGTAGCTCAATCCTTCATTGCGCCCCGGAGGATGCGTCGAAGCCTCTGCATTTTGCTCGGGATCTTTCATCACTTTCAGGCTTTTGCCTTCGCCTCCGAAACACAATACGGCACTGAAACAGGAAGGCTGCGTGGCTGGGGAATTCCATCGGACGGATCGGGTTCCTTAACACTCCCACATCCCGCCGGAAGTAACTCCCCTTCTATGGACGCGAAAGAGTTCGCTCGGCAAGAGGAAACCCCTCAAAACACAGTAGCACAAGTACGTACAAGGGGGTCCTGAAATACTAAGAAGCATTACACCAAGTCGTGCTGCTACCGGGCCTGCCAGCCCATTGTGAGGCAGGTCCTTTCGTTTGGAGAGGTTGCCATTGTTGCACAGCTTGCATTTCCATCGGTCTGATTGTTGTATGCGCATCACATTCAGGCTCTATTGTCTTCTCTCAAGCTCTCGCAAGATCTATTCAACGCCACGGTGGCACTTGTCTTACCACCTCCGGAACAACCCAAAGAAGTCAAGGCCACAGAGGAGCACTCCTTATCTTGTCGGGCATTAGGCATTTGGGTGTGCATCGCATTGGGGTTTGCGCTTTCTTCAATATTCATTTATGGCCTAACTATAATGACCGGGAAGTGCAGGAGGAGCTTCTCCACAAGTAGTCAGACGACCGTTTTGGGCTCCCCAGCTCAGCATCGTCGGGAAGCAATTGTACCAGTGCCCCAAACCCCACTGCATGCAGTTGCACGCCCAAACTTCAAAGACACCCGGAGCACCGAGAGCACATGCCCCCCGGTCTGTGGCAGTCTTCACGACCACAGGCCTTCCATCAAGCAACCTCAACTCATTCAACAACAAATTAGAGTCCCCTCGTTCCCCGCCTCAATGCCAATCACAGGAAACATGGAACTCCAAGATCCACTGCCAATTGCACAGCTTTGCCTTCAGCAGTACTCAGACCAGCAGAAGTCCACAGATTCTCACTTGCCGTCTCCTCCTGCTGGGCTTTGCAAAAGCCAGAAACAACGCTTTCTGCTATTTTGGAAGCGCTCGTAATTCGTGGCACGGACATTTCTAACCCATTCAGATTGAATGCGTGCGGCGCAGTAGGCTCTTGACTGATTCGTGGCGCATGGCGAAACACTTTGTTCAAGCAGAAACATAGCAAGATCAAATGTAGTTCAGGAAGTGACCGGATACACTGTGCCCACATAAACACTCGTCCAATGCCCCAGGCTACATATTAGGCACCTGGTCATTTAAAACAACATAAAGTGAGAATAGTCTACAAACAAGAATGGAACGTGCGCAGTAAAGCCTACCAAGGGAAAAATCAACCATGCTAGACTCTGCAAACTGCAGCAAGCAAACTGAAGGATGCTTGTAGCTGGCACCCATATTCACAAACTTTTAAACGCCCCACAGCTTGAATGGGGTGGCGCTGATTGTGTATTGAATAGCATTAGAAGCTGTTCATCTAAATCAGAGCTGGCCCGCAAGTGTACGCTTTGGTGTTGATGAGTCGGTAGGTACACCATGAGTTGTGGGCGTGGGAGAGGAGCTACAGCGATGTGGCATAGTGTCCGTACAAGCAACTGACCGAATAAAAAGCGTTGCTATGCTACTGAAGTATATATTGTAATATCTCTATATAGCTTCATCCCCCGGATACCAAGGCTAGGTGTCGCCTCTCCTCATCGCAGGCGCAGGTGACCTCGGGGAGGGCCACTGTGGAGGGTGAAAATTGATTCACACCGAGCTTAACAAAATCTCAAAATACGTAGCATGACGTACAGTGTCATCGGATTATTAGGACGGGTATTAGCTCCACAGTTGTGGCCTACCCACATGAACTCCAAGACACATTTTGGGCGCGAC